TCCAAAAGCAAAAAATATGGTGTTTACTCTGTTACCTTGTCAACACATAAGCAAAAATATTGTAAAGAATTCAAAAGGAAAAACTTGTATTTCGTGCAAAACTTTTTTATTAATCAATGCAAAGCACTTTCGGCTTATTTGCCATCATCAGTGCTCATCTACAAAAATTGTGGATGTAAACTTACAATTTAAAAAGATTTTAAAAAATATATTATAAAATCTGAATTAGACTTTTAAGTCAAAAGTTAAAATAGTATATATACAATTGTTTGAACAAATTAAAAATTACAAGAAACAAACAAAGTGACAAAAAACTGGTATTGGGAATAGTGAGTGTGGGATAAGCCCTTACAAATCAAATCTGATCTCCAGAAGCAAGTTAGCTTGTGTGGAATTAAGGAATCATGCCACCCTCACTATTCACAAAATTGAAAAAAGGTTAACAAATTAGTTAAAATTTAAAGAAATTTACAATTAGAGGGTGACTGTGGAAGATATATTGAAATTTGAATCTAGAATACAATATTTGATATGAAGAAAGTAAAACGCAGAAGGCCAAAGTAAAAAAACTGAAGGTTTTTTTATATATTTTATATACATTATAATTATGAAAAAGTCTACCTACTGTCCACAACGTATCCAACAAGTTCCTGGTCATCCTCACTCCCAAAATTATATATTTCGGGATATTTACAACTTGCTAAATCATAATTTTATTAATATTAATATTTTCAAATTTAAATTTCTCTCTTCATTTTGGTTCAAGTTGTTTAACCGTTTCCACATGACAGTGGTGACAAGCGACACTTGAAGACTTTGACTTGTCAAATGTCAACAGAGTAAACGTCAAAAAGCCCAGCAGCCAAAGTATCCGGCATCGCTCTAGACGCAAGTCTGTAATGGGCCGGCCAAGTGAGCGCATTACCGGCCGGCGCATCGGTGATATTTTCGATACCTGTCGCGCGCATATCTGTTTAGCAATGTTCCGAAGTTGTTTTTAAGTCTTTAAACAAAGATGTTATGTTTAAAATGGACGAGGAAAAATTAATTTGCTTAGTCCAAAAGTTTAAAAAAATTTACGACTTAAGTGACAACGCCTATTACAATCAACATCAGAAGGAAAACATTTGGGGGAAATTGCTACTTGTACTAAACTAAAAACATCTTTCGCGGTTAGAATGGCATGTCGGTTTCGTTTCGACCGCAAAGTGGGCGACGAAGTACCCGTAGGCGT